GTTTGGTTAAAGATTTACTCGGTTCTACTGGTATTAAGCAGGGTTTTTGGGGTTTTGAGGTTAGAAATCGATGGTTTTGGGATCATAGGTTAAGGGTCTGTGAGTATGAAAGTTAGGATACAAAATAGTAATCCTTTCTGCATAAGTATTTATCTTTTTGTTAATGTAGTGTCCGAAATAGGTGCAAAATATCTGAGTGCAGATTCGTGATTAGCGACCCCAAAAACATGTAGTCCACCTACTCTGGTCTCGGGTGCCGGCGATTGATTTTTGTGGAGCTGTGTTATCTACGTCGGTAATTTACCTATACCGGGCAGGATGGACAGCACGGGCGAATACGATGAGTATCGGTACTCTGCGTGCAAAAAGCCAATCAAAAGCCAAGTAGTGCGATGAAAGACTTGTGTGAAACTGTTTTACCACCCTACATGTGTGAATAAACTTGATAGGAATCATGAGTTGGTAGCATGCAGTGGTCCATTTGGAAAATTCAATGCTGAAGAAGAAAATCAGAAGACATCGGTGCCGGCAGCAGGTAGTAGCAGAGATTGAGTGTCATCAGTGGGGTCAATTGGGGGAAGCAGAGGTATGAGTTCCTCAGCAACGGTTGACATGAAAATTGACTGGCTGATAAAAACAGTGAAAGCAGTCAAGGACGAAATCGCATGCAAGAATGAAGTTAAGAAGATGATCAAGGAAGTAGTCGGTGCAGAAATAGAAGGTCTGAAGCAGCAGATAAAGGAATTGAAAAGAATGATACATGGAGAAGGTATGAACGCCGGAAAGGCAACATACAGCGAAGCAGTGAAAGAGAAAAAAAAAGAAATGGTGATTATTGTCAAACCCAAAATCCAACAAGAGAGTGAAGCCACTAAAAGAGCGATAAAAGAGAAGGTAGATATCAAAAATATTACAGTGGGAATAACGAAACTAAAGAAAGACAGTAAAGGAACTGTGATTTTGGGATGTGAATCGGGAGAAGAAATTGAAGTACTGAAGGCTGAAGTTCAAAATAAAATGGGTGAGGGTTTCAAAGTTACGGAGTCAACACAGATGAAATCGAAGATAAAGATAGTAAATATAGAGGAAGAGGAACTAAACTTAACAGATGAAGAACTAGTTGACACAATTAAGACGCAAAATGGAATAGAGGAAACAGAAGGAAGAGAGTGGAAAATAGTGAAAAGGCTAACCAAAGGAAGACAACAGGAACGTAATAGAAGAGGACCCATCGAAGGCTCAATTATTCTGGAAGTGGACGAAGCAACACACGAGGAGTTACTGAGCAAACGTAAACTCAGCGTGGGATGAAGGAAATGTCCGGTGTACAACCACGTCAATGTAAAGAGATGCTCTAAATGCTGGGGTTATTTACCATATAGCGAAAAATTGTAACAGAGAGGAAACCTGCTACAAGTGCGTCGGTAATCATAACGTAAGAGAATGCACGATGAATAAGAGTAAGTGTGTAAACTGTACGCACAAAAACCAATCGTTTAAGGTCGGTCAATGGAGTTTTTATTACATAGATTAATTTATGATTTTGATAGAAAATTGTGACATCACTAATATCGATCAGATTGGAGAACTGATTTAATTCAGGCGGTACTGGGATTTCCTTATCTTTAACTACCCTATGACTGTTTGCTAGACTGTCAAAAAGTTGTTTGGGAGTTACTACTTTCGGATGTACTAACCCTCTTCGTGCTAAAAGTATCGCGTCTATGAGTACCTCTAATTCTATTTCGTATTCCGTTAACATCTCAGAGTATTCTAGTAGGTACGAATTCACGTGGGTGTTTAATTGTAACTGATCAATGTTTTTAGAGTTAATAGTAATTTGATGGTTTGATTCACCGAAATTATAGTCAATTTCCTTAAATTTTTGTTCATTAGCTACAAAATGTTGAGAGAGTTCACCTATGGTTGATTGAATTACCCCAATTTGTTTTTTTGTATAATTCGGTTAATTGTTTAGAGTTATTATAAACCAGATCTATTTGTTTGTTATAATAGTTGGCGTCTGATGAGTCAAGAGTGCCAAATAAAATCTTTGATATTTCGCCAACAAAATTAAATACTCTGCGTTTATTACGAGTATTTTGATCTTCGTCGGGTCTGGGCCGTCCTATAAGGTCGTCTATAGTTTCCCTATTAGTTTTTAATGCTCACAACTTGCGAGCGAGTGACTGAAGCTCTTGTTGTGCGATGCACGGAGTTCCTTGACTATAGTACAGGAGGTCTATTTTGCCTATGTAAAATTTAAGTATTTCCTCTTTTGTTCTTAATGGTTCTATATTCACATAATTTATTATTTTCCAGTAATCCCGGTATATTTTGAGGCTTCCTAGGTTTTCGAAATAGATTCCCGCTAGGTGCGTTAAAGGCTTATTGTTGTAGGCTTCTTAATTTTGGACGGCCTCCCGGATCGTCATTACCTGTAATTGAGCTCTTTTTGGTTTATTTACATGGATTATTTGATTTCGATATTTGATTTCCGTGTACTAATTGTAAACGGAACGTGACACGCGGCACATTCCACTCGCTAATATTATGGAAACAAAGGAGATACATCACCGCTACCGAGAGGGCATCACCATGGACTATTGACGAGTATGTCAGGAAGGATCGAGAGAGTGGCTACGTTGCCGAGGCAACGGAAGGCAGGGATGGCATGAGCAGTGAGGAAACAGCTGATCGAGACTCCCGTGGGATGATGCCCGCCAGCCCGCCACCATCGCCACAGAGATGTAGCCCCGGTGCAGTCCCGTCACACGGGTAGTAAAGAGGCCCGTGTGACAGCGGTGGAGCCCTCTCAGTCCAAAACCGCAGATGTGTCCGGGAGGATATTTTGCAGCCGGTCCGCGCGCCGGCGAAGCCATCGCCGCGCCGCCAGCCACGAAGCCCTGGAAGGCCCGGCAGCCCAGCAAAATATGAGAAGGACCAATGCCCTGCCATGCCGGAACTGCCGACCAATGCCAGAGCGCGTAGCCGGCTCAGCTGAGTAGCCCAGCCAATCAACGAGGCCCTGGAGGTCCACGAGGACCGAAACTACCGGAATATTCTTCATTTCGAGCCAGGGTTGTCGAGCGAGCGAGAGCGGATATTGCGAATTGCGGAAGTGCGAAATTTTTTGTGAGTGAGGCGAATTTTGGGATTATGTCGAGTATATTGAGTGAGTACTGTTTTGCGTGATTGAGCTTTCCCTGTTTTCCATCTCCTTCCCCTACCCCCTTTTGCTTTAGCGTTTGAGAAATAGTAGATTTCCCTTTTTGGATATTACGAGCTATCCCCACGTGGATCGGTCTTTCGCGTTAGTAGATCTTTTTTGAGTCTTAGTCTGGCCTTCCGCCAACCGCGTGCGGCCAGTGGTATATTGCGTGCGTTCGAATTTAGTATCTTGTACCCTTTTTGGAAAACCCCCGTGCTCTTTCCTTTCCCTGCCCATTTTCGCGTTCCCACCGAGGTATAGTAAGCAGCCATTATCGCGTTCGGGAACCTTCCTCCCTGAGATCCCTCACCTCTTCCCTGGCTAACCTTTCGAATCCTTGTAAATATTCGAGAACTTTCTGAGGTCACTCGACGGTGCTATGTCGTATAAGTACCTGGCGCCCAAAATATTGTGTTTGCGTATTATTTCGTGCCGGTAAGCCCTTCTGTCCCCTTGCCAATACCATACCCCTCCGTTCCCCGATTCCCCTTTGCCCACTAGTCCGTTTAAAGGGTCCGTTACGACACCGCGTGCTCCTGTGTGAACCCACGTCTTATTGTTTAGCTTTGCGTGTTCGGAGCGATATGGTTTTCTAGTGTATTAAGTTCTGATTCCTATTCTTTCCTATTCTTCTTTGTATTGCCATCTCCGTTATTAATTATATTCTTTTCTACTTTACATCGTGTTCCCCTTTCTTTTGCGTTCCCCTTCCCCTGTGTATTGCGATAGCTAGTTTGCGCGGACTCTGGGCGGCAATAATCTGCCCAGCATGTCACAACCTATATGTATCGCGTTAGTGATATAACCTACCGATAAGATGGGGTTGCTGCTCGTGCTAACAGTCTATAGCACGGGAGTGCCGTGTGTCCAATAAATGGTCTGTGGTACTGGACTGCTCACTGTTGCCGCAGAAAGTGAAAAGACCGGAGCACATAAAATCATAGATATAGGAAAAACATAGATGTAGCATAACCCTGCGGGGGGAAGCCGTCCAGGGAGGGGTGCCGAGGTACACTGAGCCTACTTGTGATTGATTACTATTGGAAGCAAGCGCAGTGATGTAAAAGTGCTACGTAAGCTTCGTCGCGGGTCTATAGCAGAGATGAGTAGGGAGATTGCCAATGAGCCTGTTTTTGGTGGTCTCAATTTTTCTCTGGTTTCGGCGCGCCACCTTAGCGGAGGGCCCTCGAAGCAGTTCCACGTTTTTGATTGGTCGTGTATATATAGTAATACTACGCGTGATAATCTGGAGCTGTGTTTTGGCGCATCGCCGCGAAACCTGAACGAGACTCTCGAACTAGTTCCACGTTTTTGATTGGTCGAATGAATTCGTGTGTTCCTCGAGATCCACGATTTTAAACCGGGTGAACACTTAAATAGGGAGACTGAATCCACCCTTTCTTACTGCATATTAGTAGATACACACCACTCCTGGCCGTCACAACAAACCCCCACCACTAGCCCGGTGAGTCATAGAGTGCATCGCGTTGGGTCCCCCCGCGCTGCACTATGGCGCCACCCCCTCGCCTATGTGACCAGCTCTCCCCTCCCCTGCGACACAGTTGTGGACCCCCCACCACGCCGTCTTAAGGCCCGAAACTACCCAGCAACAGCGTTGCATCTCCCCCAGGGGGCGTATCACGGTCGGTAACTATGCAGTGACCGCCGGTCGGTAATTTTTAATTACCCTAAAGTGGTAAGCGTCCCATGGTGAAGTAGAACACAGTTTTTTTTGTAAGAAACGCTGTATATATATATATTATAAAGCTGTCTGGTGTGATACATTTTCGATGATTAGCCTGAGCCCTGTATAGAGGAATACGCTTAATGTTTTATTTCCTACCGCCGGCTACTATTATTGACAAGATATGGGGAGATGGAGGTGAAGGAAACAAAAAAAGAAAAAATAGGTATTTTTAAATATATGTCGTATATTGTACGAAACAGTAGCTGTACAATTTTATTAAGAGAATAATCCTTTAAGCATGACCGTTCTGGGCAGCTGTGGCGCTCCGCACGAAGGAGAGGTACTCGTGGTTATACAGGGAGAGTAGTTCCACCAATAACTGATAAAGAGCCGGCGACCACAGGCCTTTCTTTTCCAAAACCAGCCGAAGATCGTCCAATATGTTGTCCGTGGAGGCGTCATCCCCGCGGCGATCGAGCTCCGCAATCAGCGTGTCTTTGCAGCTGTTAGCGCTGTCGGTGATCTCGCGTAGTCTATTTATTTGGACGGTCACGCAGCGCAAGACCCTTTGAAGATTGAGGTACGACACCCTCTTCATTACGACCACGGGTGTGTACGCTCTAGCTCGTTTATTGCCCGAGTGGTCGTTACTCGTAGATATCGGCACCGATTGTTTGAAAATAATGGCCCGCTCGCTATATGAGCACGTGAAGATTATTTTGTGAGCGGGCGTGGAAATAGGTGTGTTAAAATCGTCAGGTACCTCCTTGATGTTGTCCTCGGCGACGAAGAACCTATCGATGACGGGGAAGTGTTCGGCGACGATACCCCACTCGCTAGTGTTGTGCCGTAACGTCTCGGTGACGAAGGAGTTCGTTCGAGAGGTTAGGGCTAAGGTAATTTTTGGGATCGTTGCCGGTTAAGGAGTTGGAACTCGCGTGAATACAACAAAACAGAGAAGGTTTATTGAAACAATCAAGTGTTGTACAGTATGTCGACGTACGTCGACTTGGAAAAATATAGGCACCGTTCGGTCCTCCTATTTTCTGTACCGAGTCTACTCCACGAGACCACCTTATCCGTTCGGATTTTAATTGTAGACTGTAGATTTTCGGATGTGCAGCCATAAGCTGGACTTCCGAAAAGTGATTATTGTGCGATTTTTAGATTTCCACATATTGGTTGCCAGGCCGCCTTTAGTACTGACTTAGCGCATTGCTACACGCGTGAACTACTTGGCCTGGCGTTTGTCAATGGGATCAGGAGACTCCCAGCACAACACTAGGTTCAAACTCCACACCGGAATAATCTTGATTAACGAGGCGTATCACAGGCGATAAGCTTCCCGAACGATTTAAAGAGAGGCCGGTGATTACTTGTTTCGAAAACGATCGGTTTAGACCGTACACAGTG